AATAGATTCATAATCATTTTATTAAAATTCTTGTGATATTATATGAATTAGATTTAATGTTGCCATTTGAAAGATCATTTTTCTACATGGCTTTGTGTCTCTATGTAGGTTTTATATATACCTTATAGAAGTGTATAATTGTCCTTCACTTACTGATATACACTGATGGAGAAAATTTTAATAAATATATTGATTTCACTGCAGTTTTGGTTTCCTTCCTATATAATTTGAAAGTACTAAATAGGTTCCTATAGGAAAATATGGTTACACTGAGTTTAAGAATCTTTTTCATTATTTTTGAACATGGCTGTCAAATTGTCAGGCGCTACAGTACTATCGCCAACCTATTTTTAACAATTTATCTGAGTGTGTAAATTACAGCTTCCTTCTCCCTTCCTGTGACATCTAGTACACTGTACTGAATGAGAATGGATGAAGCGTGGGTTCAACTGTCTTGATGTTGTTAATTACTTTCTAAGATGTTTCGTAACAGGAAAGTGTTTGGCATGTGCTCAATAGCTTGGAATATTAACATCATCAAGGACGTGGGCTTCCCAGTGTTTGTTTGAAATGGGTTAGGGAGGGACTAAAAGTGCTTATTTATTTCATTTTTTAATAAAGAGGATTTATGCAAAAAAAGCTGACAGAGCACCAGAGCACCAAGAATGGACTGTGGCTAAATGCTGCCAGAGTTTAAGTTATGAAATAAGAATACCTTTTCATTGGAATATATTGCTGCTTAGGTTTACTTTCTGATGATACAGCAAAATTTTGAAACTATTTTTAACTTAAGTATATATCTGAAGCTGTACACCTGGGCACCGTCCCAGCAGCTGTTTGTCTGCCTATGGCAGGCAATATCCTCAGGCCAGGAACAACAGAACTTGGAGGGAAGAGATGAAGGAGATCCTGGGGAATTTCCATGTACTTAAAAATTAAACGAATAGGTTTCAAAATTAGATAAAATGCTTTGGAAATCGATTTGCATCACACTCTATTTTTTGCCTCATAGAAACTAGGAAATATGGTTACTGGGAACCAAAATATTATTTGAACTTTAAGATAGTTTCATTTCAACCTGTACATTATGATTAATTTATTAAACAAGCAAAGAGACCATAATTAGGTAGAGATATGACTTAATTATTGTTTTGGTTCCTAATAGACAAAATCTATCATTATCATTAATTGATTCAGAGTTGGCAGGACCCTAGCGGTGACTCCTGCATGATACTTAAGGATGAAAGATTCAGCAAAGGCAGGAGGAAAAATAGAAGATAAAGAAAGGTAAAAAGGAGACCGAGGGAAGAGAAGGAAAAGAAGGTGTAGGTGGAGAAGAAACAAAGAAAATAGTTTCTAGAACACAGAGTACAGGGATTACTATAAAAAAATTGTATAAAACAGTGGTGAGTCTAGTGGTTTCATACTTCAGAGCAGCTAGAGCTAAAGAGGACATATTACTCTTGCCTTTACTTCTCCTTCACATCTCCTATTCATGATTCAAGGACTTTCTTTTCCCCACAGAGATAAGAGTTATGCAATTTGGGAGTCTTTTAGACAGACCCACTGAAGGAGTACTCCAATTGCCTCACCTTGCATTCCCTGTTCATCATAGAAGCAGCCAGAGAGGTCTGCATCCCAATTCCCTATTGGCAATTTGGGTAACCCCTTCAGAGGATGATGTGATAATAATAGGAGGTAGGAATTGGCTAGGCAGTTAGGGTAAAAAGACCCCAAAGAAATGTAGCCAGTTTCTTGGCTAAAGGTCAAAATGTCTTTGGGCCTGTTAGCAACATACTGTTCCAAAGGCCAAAAACGTCAAAAGTATTTTGGAGGTTGTATCTAATCCTTAAAAGATTTTAGGGTTACCTCTTCAGTGTGGGGAATGTTGGAGGGGAGGGAGTGGGCTTGGATTTGATCAAATCACCTTATATACATGTATGAAATTCTCAATAAAATTTTTGTAAAAGTTAAACAAAATGGCATTTTTCCATCTTGACTATCATTAAAAAAAACAAAACAAAAGAGGACAGGGTCATGTAGGAGCCATTTCCTCATACAAGGACACATGAAAGACAGAAGCACAGACTCTAATCTACTTACTCTTTGGCTATTCCTGTATTTTTTTTTTTTTCAATTGAACTGGTATACACTTTAGGTGTACTAGTATCTGCATGAAGCTGCTGGTCTAATACCAATTTTAATATCAAAATTGATATTGAAGGACCCCTTAAATTAACTTAATTCTTCACTCAACATCCACCAAAGGCCTGTATATGGAAAAATGAAGCTAACTTTATTTTTTCATTTAGATACAGAGGGAAGAGAAAGGGTGTCGGGTGAGGTGGAACACCCTCTGTAGTTTAGGGTAGGGAAGTGAGAATGTCTGCTGGTCAGCTCAGAGGTTTAGAACTGTTTCCCAAGGTACTAAGGAGCCAGTAAAGGTTTATAGGCAAGGGATAACATCACTGAGGGAAGTAAGGGCAGGAGCCTGGAGGCAGGAACTGAAGCAGAGACCATGGAGGATGCTGCTTACTGGCTTGCTCCTCTGGCCTGTGCTCAACCTGCTTTTTTATAGAATGCAGAACCATCTGCCTTGGGGTGGTAACCCACAGTGGGCTGAACCCTTCTACATCACTCAACAGTAAAGAAAATGCCTCCCAGACATGCCCACAGGTGAATATGATAGAAGCTACTCTTCAGCTAAGGTTCCTTCTTCTGAGGTGTGTCAAGTTGACAGCTGAAGCTATCTAGCACAATGGGCTAAAAAAGCTGGTGTCAGAGTGGAACCAACACCCAATTGTAGGTCTCAACTTTGGTTGAGGCATTGAGAGGAGAGAGGAGACAGCAGGGAGAGCCCTAAGAGGAGGAGAGATGGAAAGATGGAGCAATTAACTGTGGAGGGATGCATAATAAAGTCTTTCTGAAGGAAGACATGTGAGAATTCACTGTACACTCCACAGAGAAAGATATTTTTTAAAAAATGTAGAACCTTTTATTTTTTTAATATTTTGTTTTTATTTTATGTGTATGAGTGTTATGCCTGCATGTAGGTAAGTGCACCCGTGTTGTGCAATGCCGGCAGAGGACAGAAAAGGCCCTTGGATCCCCTGGAACTGGAGTTACAGACCGTTGTTAGCTGCCGTGTGGGTGCTGGGATTCAACCTCGGGTCTTCCGTAAGAACAGCCAGTATTCTTAACTGCCAATCCATCTCTCCAGCCCCTTTATTTAGTCTTTTTGAGACAGGGTCTCCCTGTAACCCCAGCTGGCCTGGAACTGGCTATGTAGACCAGGCTGACCTTGATCTCACAGAGATTTGCCTGTCTCTGCTTCCCAAGTGCTGGGATTAAAGGTGTACACCACCACACCCAGCCAATAAATCACCTATTTCACACTTCTAAATAATGAAAAAATATGAATCCTGTGTTTTTTGAATAACAAAATCAAAAGCATCTGAAGAATTTAGATAGATAAACCAGTAAAGATCACAAAAATCAACCAAGAATTTCAGTTCAGGGCCGGGGATGTGGCTCAGTTGGTGGCTTGCTTGCCTAGCATGCATGAAGTGCTGGATGTATTTTCTTGCCACCACATAAATTGGTAGGTATGGTAGCAACTGGGTAGGCAGGGTGGCATATGCATGTCAGGAGGATCACAAGTTCAAGGTCATCCTCGACTGGACAGGCCAGCTTTGGACACATCTTACCTTTTTACAAAAAAAAAAAAAAAAAAAAAAAAAAAAAAGATGGCTTAGTGCTTAGTTAGGAATATGTACTGCTCTTCCTGAGCATGCATGTCCAGGGGCTCACAATAATCTCCTCTGGCCTCTGTGGGTACTTACGCACAAGTGGCAGATACGTAGATAGGCACATATAAGCATGAATAAAAATAAACCTTAAAAGACAGTTTAAAAAAGGCAGGGCATGGTACAGTATACCTCTAATCCCAGCATTCACCAACATTCAGGAGGCAGAGACAGTCAGATCTTTGAATTTAAGACTAACCTGATGTATATAGTGAGTTCCAGGTCATCTGGGGCTACAGGGAGATCTTGTCTTTTTTTTTTTTTTTAAAAAAAGGCATAGTGGTATATACCATTAATCTCAGCACTCAGGAGGCAGAGGCGGGAGAATCTCTGAATTTGAGGCCAGCCTGATCCTACATATGAGTTTGCCTACATAGTGAGAACTTGTCTCAAATCAAAGCAAAAACAAAAAATAAAGCAACCCTTTTAATTCAGATTGTTAGGTATATTGAAGAGAATACAATCTTTTATTTTTTTAGAATAGAGACAACTCAGAAAAGTCTGTTTCTTATGATCTGGACTTATTTTTTCATTAATCAAACAAAATCAGACCCTGGGAAGAATGGAATTAGGTTCTTATCAAATGCTGAGACTTTTTATTTTGAGCATTATCTCTTACTTGAGTATTAGAAATGCCTTATTTTGGTACCAAAAAATGTTTTGATAAAACAAGAGATCTGTGTGTCTGATCTGTAAAAACAACATTCTAGGGCACACAATAACTTTTATGAAGGCATGTATAAGGGCACGTGAAGGAAAGCCTTTCCTGGATGGTACAGCATTGGATGGTATGGGATCATTGGTTTTGCTGTGGTGGACTCTGTGCTTAAAGGGGTTAAGGAATGCCTTACTTATGTTCCATGAAGTAGCAGAAATTATCAGATGGAAACAGGATTGCCAATGGGGGTTGTGGGAGGAGAGGCTCTGCCTCAGAACATTGTTTCTTAATCCCGCAAAGCTTGCACCTACATGGATGAGCTGAGGGGTTAATTCGATCGGTGTGCTTTGGGGGGCTTGGGCCACCACATTCCCGGTCCTCCTTAACTGCAGCAGCTGTGACAGGGATAGCAGGGTTTAAACAATGCTGTGAGTCACACACAGCCTGTAACTGCTGGGCCAGGAAGCCCAGGGAGAGAGGCCACGCCCCTCTCCTTGTGAATCGCTGGCCCGCAGGGGAGGGGCTGGCCCATGCTAATGAGCAAGTTGCCAGGCGAGGCAGGAACTTCTTTCCCCTCAGTGTCAGGATCTCAGAAATATGCCCCTTCTCTCACCATGAACTGGCTGTCGGGTTCCCAGGGAGTTGTACTAACCGCCTATCACCCCAGCGGCAAGGACCAAGCTGTGGGGGAGAGCCATGCGAAGGGAGACGAGGAAGCCACCTGCAGGTAAGGAGACCAAACAAAAAAAACCTTACCTGCCCCAGGAAAAAGTGACAGGGAAGTTGGCGTGAGTGAAGGGAATCACCTCTGCACTCCATAGAGTCTGACCTCATGCCGCAGGAGGACATTTGGGTTTGGTGTGGTTCGTATAAAAGTCCTTTGCACCTCATTGACTCCTAGTGTGCCGGAGCCCTTCTGATTATCCGTGAATACCAGAAGGACTGCAGATGGCTCCGTGGCTCTCAGACCAGTTGCTTAGCAGGTGCATTTGCAAATGCTGACCGATCAAATGACTGTATCGGAAACGTTTCCGCTGAGATGGAATTCTTGAATGGGCTCAAGGCTCCGCTGGCTGGAACTGTTAGCTGGGAAAGTCTGCCAAAAAGCAGGGAGGCTGGTCACTCTACGAGCTGTTGTTTTTAGAGTAGTGTTCCCCACCCCCTTGCTGAAAGCAAACCTCTTAGGCAAAATGCCCAAGACGCTGGCTGGTAGCACTGCATTTCACATTCTTCTGTGTATGTAGATACTCCACACACACACATCCCCCGCCCGCGCCCTTGGGCTTTCAAAAAGGAGTTTTTGTGAGAAGACAGTACTACTGTGTGCTGTAGGGAGCATGGTTAATGTTAAATCACTTTATAGACAGGGCAAATGTTCTATAGACCACTGAGACACAAAGAGTACTTTTCTACCTATCCGTGTACTTTGTTCTATTTTCCAAGGGAGACTCGCTACCCCCGTTTTCTTCTTAATGACTTTCTCACTGAGTCTTTTTTACATCCAGTCTTGGATGTAAATTGCAAATACTGGACTGGAAGATTGTAGGAAAAAAAATTAGTTATCACTATGTCCAATTCCATGTTGATGTTAAATGCGATAATAAAAACCTCTAGATTCGAGGTGACTTAATTGGTGCCTTAAGTGGAATAATGCCTTCTTTCATTGGATAAAACCCCAAACATGTTGGGGGGGGGCATGGGAAAATCAGAGGCAATGGCTGTAATTCTCTGGGTCAGATCTTGGCTTACCAGAACTTTATTTCTCACGTGTTGCCAAGGTGTTTATTGCCTTGAATGAACTCATTTCCAAAGATAAAAGGGAATGGCTGCTTTTGCATTACATGTGTTACCATCTTGCTCTCTGTCTTTTTAAATGTTTTCTATGAACATCTTGAAATATTTGCATCCATTCTTATGTCTACTAGGAGTATCTTTCAATGGTAATCAGCCTACAATAACAGTCCATACCAGCCCTAGTTTGGCTTCCACATGGGAGTCAAAGTCACCAGAATCTTGCAAGCTTGCATGCTGTTCATTAGCTTTAGGCTGGGTGGGCCTGAAGATTGGAACTAAATCTTGGATCTTGGATCTTGGTTGTGACAGTGGATAGCACCACTGAAAGCTTGAGTCTAAACCTCTCGTTTCACTGTGTGGACTCAGACCCTAGGAATTCCTTAGGTTGTTGCAAAGTCTGTTGGGTTAGGCTTCTGTTTAAGACTGCCTATATTCCTCAACCTCTCTTTCCTGAGTATGCAGTTTTGTAGCTTGTTGTGGGTGGTTTAGACTTAACAAACAAAACAGAGGAATGGATTGTTTTCAGCTGTTGTTGATGCAGAACCAAGAAGCATGCAGGGGCAGAGTGGACAGAGGAGCAGGATGAACAGTGGCCAGTGCAGTATGTGCTGGTGTTGGGAACACATCTCTAGGATTGCTTTCAAAGTCCTCTCCTGCTGGCTGCCATATTGCTTGGACATCTTGGTCAATGCTTTGGTTGTTGGAGGGAGGGATGGTTACTGATTCTGGGAGGAGAAGATAGAAGGCTGGTTTGAGGTGGGAAGGAGGGCAGAGATACAGTCCTCATTTTTACTCTTAAGCATAGAATAATTTATCAGATAAGCATGGAAGGATTTGAAATACTGAATTAGTATGGGGGGTAGTGTTGCATGGAAGGAGGAGAAATCTGAGGAGGTTTGGGCTCAGTAGTAACCACCTAAGGATGGTGATAATGGTAGGGGTCCATAGGGGTGGCTCTGAATGGGTTGCTTGGTAGTTTAAGCATTAGGAAGGTATTTCAAGGTACTGAGTGTTAGTTGATGCCTGTTTTTATAAACAAAACCAAAGCAACACTCTCATAAAGAGGTTAAATTAGGGCATTAGCATGCCCTCATTCCTATTTTTTTAATATTTATTTTATTTATGTGTATGAGTGTTTTGCCTGCATGTGTGTTAAGTACATCTGTGTCATGCAATGCCTATGGAGGCCAGAAGAGAGCATCAGATTCCCTGGAACTGGAGTTAAGGATAGTTGTTATCTGCCATGTGGGTGCTGGGAACTGAACCCAGGTCCTCTGCAACAGCAGCCAGGCCTCTTAACCACTGAGCCATCTCTCCAGCCCCTCCCCATCCCTATCTAAAAGTAGCTAAAGGTATCTCAAAAGTTTGACATTGCTTATCAAAAGACTTTATCTCTTCGAAATAATATGTACTTTGATGACCTATTTAATCAGATGAATGATTCAATAAGATTAACTCATGTATATAGAATGCCATGACAGCTGGGGCTACAGGGAGACCCTGCTTGAAAAAGAGAGAAAAAAAAAAAATGAAAAAGATATAAAGGGTTATATTTATCATTTCAGATGTTTACAAAAAATCTTTGCTTTTTAGCTTTCTCTTGCCAAGACCTTCCTTATAGTTTTTATGGCCTTTTGAAACCTGGGATGGTGGGAAGTTAATGTTTTTGTAAGTAATCTGATAGTCTAAATTCCCTGTTTTCCATTATCTCTCTTCATCAGAACATGTTCACTTTATACCAGATTAAGGAATTCCTCCCACTCCTGGTTGGGGGCCTCCCAAGTATTTGCATACTCCTGTTTTCATTTTTGTAGTGTTTTATCCTCAAAGCATCCAGATTTGTTCTAGCTGAGTATATACAAGTGTTTCCAAAGAAAACCACTTTTAATGGGCAGCTATGTTTACCAGACTTTATTTAGTTGTTTTCCAGGCAAACTTCTCAATATTTGCTTTAGGGAAAGCAATTTTTCAACAAAACTATATTTAGTATACTTTCCTTTTTACTGTGCTCTTGTATTTAGCATCATTTTAAGAAAAAAAAAAGTTCTGATTGCTTTGTATGTTTTCTTATTGCTCATTTAATATTAATGACATAATGTCAAATGATATATTCTTTCTTCTTGAAACTTTTAACTCTTTACCCCAATAGGTTTGGAGAATGGTTGACCCCATTTGCCTTTGGTATTGGGTAGCAAGGATTAAGGAATATCATAGAGACAGAAACCCTGAAACCCTGGGCACCTGGATTCATAGCCTGACTCTCCTGGTCATCAACAGTTTGCACTATGGAGAATTAGTGAATTTGCTGCTGTAAGTTGGGCTACACAGTGCCACTCATCTCATTGGGATAGTGAAGTTGGATGGTCCATGCAAAGCCCGTGGATCAGCTGGCTCTGCAGCTGGCCGCTGCATTCCTTAACATTTTATACCTGTAGAATGTTTTTCCTCAGTTTAGCATATACATCATGGGTTAAGAAATATGTGTGATTCATGCACTTAATTAAGAATGTCATATTAGAAACTGGGTGTGGTGGCACATGTAAAATTCTAGCACTTGGGAGGTAGAGGAGGATCTGGAGTTCAAAGTCAGCCTTGTCTATTAGAAAGTTTGATGTCAACCTGGGCTGTATGAGACTGTGGCTCCAAAAGAAAAACAACAACAAAAAACATGACTACTGCAAGAACAACCAAATGAATAATTAAATACACACATAATCAAATAATAAAATTTCAAAAAGAATGACTTACTGGAAGCTGGGTATGATGGCATATACGTATGCCCACTCCTAGCACCCAGAAGGGAGAGGAGGATCAAGACTTCAAGGTTGCCCTCAGCTATATGGAAAGTTTGAGGCTAGCTTGTGAGACTGTCTCAAACTCATCTTCTTCCACCCCAGAAAAAAATGACATGTTGGAAAATGAAGCATAATGTAAAATTTTAGGCCTTTCATGTCTGAAAGATCCTGGAAATGTCTTTTGCTCCACAGAAGTTTTTGAGTTGAACTTTGAAAACTGGGAAGAGCTACCTCTACAAGTCCTGCCTTAGGGCACAGATAGCTGTTGAAGTCTGCAGACAATGGCTTTTGCCAGGTATGGACTGTGGATGAGTCTTTTTAGCACCCAGACTCTCTCCTCCTCACCGTAAAGACCTTTTGCCAGTGTGCCAAGTAAAAAGGGCTGCCATTTTCTCATGCTTATTTCAGCTCTAGACTTTTTCAGGTTTCATCCATTGCTTTGTTCTGTAAGCTTAACTAGTCAATCACGTAGCTCTTCCATATACAGTCTCTGAGTTGTTACCGAGAACAGTTGTCCCGGTGCTGGGTTTAATGGAGAACATAACTGCATCAGTCAGCTTTTCTTCACTGTGGCAAACACTTGAGTAAAACAAGGGAAGAAGAATTTATCTTGACTCATCAGTTAGATTCCAGTCTATGGGCCCTTGGCCCCATTGCTTTAGGCTTGAATCAAGGCTGGGCACCATGGCATCAGGAATGTGTGGTAGAGAGGCTGTTTACCTCCTGAAAGCCAGGAAGCAGGCAGACAGAGAAGGGCCTGGAACAAGGCATACCCCCTAAGGACAAACCCCAAGCGACGTATTTTCTCCAAGTAGGCCTTACTGCCAAAGCAGTCTATCACCTACCCAAATAATGGCACTATCTGGCACCAGCATTTTGGCACATGAGCCTCTAAAAGACATTTCATGTTCAAAGCACATCAAGAAAGAATCCCTGAGCATAGGGGTGTGAAGGAGTGTTCCGGGGTAGAAAATAAGCCCTGAACCTCTAAGTGGGCAAGCTTAGCAGATACCTGAGAGTCAGAGTTTTTAAGGCAGAGAGGTTAGGATGCATAGGAGCCATTACCTTAGAGGAAACCCTAGAGCAAATTCATAGAGGAGCAGAGAGCACTGCGTGGCTGGATGGGGCTGAGGGGTGG